TAGGTGAGGGGACTGTGGTGTGGCCATCCCCCTTGGGGAGTAATTTCTCATTTTCCATGTCTCTGACGAGCACACATGTCCTAGAGCAAAAATCTCTCCCCCAAAAAATGGTATAAAATAATTTCTTTTATAAAATAACCTAATTATATGTTATTATCAAGGTACATTGTAGAATATGTAACAAAATCAGGTGAAAAGTGATTGTTGACACATGAAAGGAAATTGAGACATTTAATTTACACACACACACACATACACACCATAAAAAGAGCATATTCTTAGTGTCTTTTATTTTGGCAGAAGTTAGGCCACTTACAGATAATAAGATGAAAATTAAGCAGCAGTCCAGTAGCACATGTTGGTATTGAGAAATTCCTAGTGGCTTTGAAAACTGACAGGTGTATAGAATGACTGAAACTAAAGCATTGAAATGAATACTACGGATATTGCCATGATTTTAAGTAAACTTTTTAGGAACTTTCTTGAGACCGCTCTGAAGTTCTTCCTTCCCCCCGATATCCTAAGCAAACCAAATCAAGAGAATAACCTGACTGTTGCCTCTGCACATTCAAGTAGCACTTAAAAACAAAAACAAACAAACAAAAAATAAAACAAAACTAGTGTTTCACCAAATTAAAAGCACAGGTGCTTGAGTTTAGGTATGTAGACCAGCAAAAATTATACTCTTCTCTTCCCGTCAGTTTATACAGTTAAGTCCACATAAAGTAGAGATCATTTTTCTCTCCTCATGACACATTATTAGAGGCTTTTTTAAAAAAAAAATTAACACACAAGGGATCAGCAGGTGGTGTAGTGGTTAAGGCACTGGATTTTCACATGGTTGACTGCAGTTCGAGTCCTGGATCCAGCAGCTTGAAAATCACACCAGGAACATATATATGTATGCCCAAGATCTTTAGAGGAGAATGAAAGAGAAGGGCTTGTGGTGTGGCCTTCCCCTCTGGGGAATGATTTCTCACTTTTTGTTTCTGTCTCTCTGGTGAGTGCACGCACCCTACTGCAAAAAGAGGGAAGAATTTCCCTCTTTTTTTTCTGGTTTGGGGTAAGGGGGAATGACTTTATTACTTAATTCAATATAGGTTTTACTGCATTTTCCCATTCTAACCTGGTATCATGCAGCTACTAGACATTTAAGAGGCAGCAGCATGTGCCATTACATTTTGTATTTACCTAATGTGTGACCACAGAACAATAAAATATCAGATATTCACTATTGCATTACTTCTATGAGAAACCATGATGAAAAGCATGTTTAAAAAGAGTGACTACATTTCTAAAGGGCAAATTTACTGAGTAATCAGAAATCACAGAAATAATTTTTTCCAGTAAGACCTATATTTGAATTGCTTTTACCTAGATTCTGTAGACCTTTTACCTGCAAATATTTAACTGATGTTAAAAGAGCAGTTTTCTTTACTGTTTATGTGAATTGAGGATGCTCATTAGTAAACCTAAAGACTGCTCAAAGTAGTATTGATTATACCTCGTAACTCATTTTCCCATGACACGTAAGCTTTTTTACAAAGCTCTCATCTTAACATATTACCATCTTTAATTACTAAGTGCATTTAAACCTCTTTTGTATGTAATTTTCAAGATACCAATCAGAAAAGTGTACATAATTGAGCAAATATTCTTTCTACTCCTTGGGCTTATTCATTACCATTTGGTTAGTAGAAGAACTTGATTGGTAAGTAGCCAACTCCATGTGATTTAATAGTTGTCAAAATATAGACACATGAAAACAAAATTCCCATGAAACTACATGTTATAAAGTGATTTTAACCCTTTCCTCATCAAATACAAGTTAGTGAGGCTAGCAGTTACATAAACTAGGTTTCTGTACTTCATTCATATAGGCCTTGCTGGAGGTATTAATTACTTCTTTGCAAATTTGACAATTACTGAAATTTATCTGTTTTTATCCTCTTAGCTTTATATGCTAGGACATTTATATAGTCAGATATCTTCCAATATAGGTCACTATTCTCTACTAGACTTTCTCTCTTTTAATAGAGTTGACTTTGATACTTAATTCAGTGTCCATTCTTCTAAGCCTTTCAGCCCACTCTTTAGCAGCTTACTTAAACATCATGATTGCTCTCCTACTTTACTTTTAATTTTTGCTTGTTTCTGTTGAATTGCAGCTCCCTGCAAACCAATGATCTACTAGGATGCCATACCATATTTACATAATCTCAAGGGCCTTGAAAAGTAGGTATTGATACATGAGATTTAACAAGGAGGCCCAACTCCGTGTATACAAAGGATATCACTGCAGTGAGACAAGCATAATGTAACATAGACATCTCAAAATAAGCAAGGTAGCAGTAGCACTGAGCAGAGGGTGGGCACTTAGGAAATGAAATGGATACCAGGTCATTCATGTTCCTCGTAATTTCTTATGATTAGTAGTTATTAATAATTATTAAACCATGATCATTTTCATAATGAAAAATAAAGCATACTTATTATCCTTTGGCTTTTTTGACCAAAAATTAGTGTTAAGGAATTCGGTCTTTGATCAGTGGTATGACCCAGGCCAATAAGGAAAACATTTCAGTACACAGTAGGTGTATAGTATTTAATTTGATTCTTCCATCAAAAGCTAGGACTAGCCTTACAGGCTAGTGCTCAGGGGTTCCAGATCCCACATGGCCAACTGCAGTTTGAATCCTGGCCTTGGCAGTCTGAAGAACATGCCAGGCAAGTGTGTTTATATGACCAAGATCCCATCCGGATGGAGAAATGGAGTTAAAGGGATGGGAGAATGACTGCACCCCTCTGGGGTTGGGGGGGATACTTTGTCTCTTCATCTTTCTGTGACAAATGCACATGCTCTCTGGCAATTGAAAAAAAAAGCATGTTCAAATTTCAGAACATTGACTATGGGCATGCATTTACCACCAGTTTTAGGGCACCTGTTAAAACCAAACGTATAGGGAACCAGCAGTTAGCGTAATGGCTATGTCGCTGGACTCCCACGTAGTCGACCGCGGTTTGTGTCCCGGACCCGGTGGCTTAAAACTCACGCTGGGCGCGTGTGCGTGCGTGCCCAAGATCCCGAGAGGAGAATGGAGGAGAAGGGATTGCGGCGTGACCATCCCCCCTGGGGGGTGATTTCTCGCTTTCTGTCTCTATGTCTCTCTCTGTCTGTCTGGCGAGCGCACACGCCCTACAGTGAAAAATCTCTTAAAAAAAAAAAAAAAAAACCAAACGTATATATGGGAAGCAGTCTTCTCTATGGATTATGATGAATAATATTCACATATTATTGAAACCTGGCTCTGGGTTTAGCACTTGGTATCTTTTCTTCTTCTTAAGTTTATGTTACCTTATTTCTTTTATAACCAAGAGATACAGCATCCTCAAAAGGGTTTCAATGCTATGATTCACCCCCACTCTCAGCCAGCTCTGGACCATGGGCACAGATGAGTACTCAGGGAGGTCTCTGCAAACGAACCACATAAGAAGATTCTGAACATCACATTTTACTGCTGTGTCACTGTCCAGCCCCTATTTTTGTCTTTATAGGCATCCTTTATGCTAAGTAGTAAATTTCTATAGTACATTAATCTAATTTATATATATGTGTGTGTGTGTGTGTGTATATTATATATATATATATATATATTCATTCAACATATTTTTACTGTCTCCCACGTATCAGAAACTATGCAAAGTGGTGGGGATTTATTCATTCATTCAATATATAAAATATCTACTGTGTGCCAAACACCATTCTAGATTCAGGATTTAGCAATGAGCAAGAATGTCATATTGAATTATGCCATTTTTTTAAAATGTCAGCTTTTCTAAATAACTTCTTTACAGTTGGAGGAGGAGAACACCAAACTTGTAGCTTTTATTTCTCCATTTCCACAGACTGTGGTCAAATGTTTATTATCCTAATTTGTAACATTTTAAAGTGGTGCATAACTGTACAGAGTTTATGCTTGAAAAGATCAACAGATTTGAAAGTTACTTATAATGGAAGATATAGGCGTGGTGGCCTCTTTAGCACCTAGAACATAGATTTCACAGCACTTTGTTTTAAAACTGTTCCCCTCCCCCTTTTTAAATAATTATTTTATTTATCTTTATTTATTTATTTTAATTTGCCTGGAGAAGGACAGAATGAGAGAGAGAGAGAGAGAGAGAAAGTGAGAAAGCAAGCTGCCAGGTCTGGAACTTGAACTGTGGTCAGCCATGTGGGAGTCCAGCACCCTTAACCACCATACCACCTGCCAGCCCTCCCCTCCTCTTTTTATCCCCTCTTCATAACATTTATATGTGTGTGGGATTTCTTTTTATTTTTTTAATAAGAATTATTTTATTTAACATTTATTTATTTATTTCCTTATTTATTTATTTTAATTTGATTAGAGAGGCACAGAGCAAGAGAGAGAAAGAGGGAAAGTGAGAAACCAAGTCGCTAGGTCTGGGACTCGAACCATGGTTGGCCATGTGGGAGTCCAGTGCCCTCAACCACCATGCCTCCTTCTGTCTCCTGAGCATGGGATTTCCATCCAAAAAGGAATTCTCATTTTTTGAATGATAGCATTAGGATGAAGGGCCATAAAAGAAACAAACCCTGGAAAATAAATTGAGAAAATGAATACATACATTTTTCCAAAATTCAGTAGGTACTCAAAACATTTCAGGTGGTACTAAGAGTGAAGATAAAATGTTCTGTTTAAAAAGTGAATGATTACATTGGTTTGGACTAAATTTGGGAGTCATTATTAGTACAAAAAAGTTTATAACTTTAGCATATGCAAACTGTTTCCTATTTTTCAGCGAAAGCTTTCAATATGTAGTTAATACATTTATAGAGTTAAGCTGCTTGAACTTCTCAGGGAAGCAGTACAAAAAGAAGTTTTTGAAAGTATGAATAAAACCATTTTCTACTGGCATAAGGTCTCTAGTTTTTGAATTCTAAATATGCAGTAAATTATTGTGTTTACTCTGCCCACCAGATCCCTGAGGAGCTCCACTGGAGAGCTGTTCTGGCCAGGAGGATGCTCAGTTGTAAACTGCCTGGATCAAGAATACATTGGCAGGTGCATCACTGATGGGCGGTGATCTCTCTGCCAGCACATATTTTTGTTTCAGTTGACATTAAATAATATGTCTCTAGCAAATGCTTTATTTAATGGAAACAGCTCTGAATCGGGAGGATTCTCTTCATATTGTGTGCAGTACAAAAGATATTGACCAAGAGATAAGGAAGGATAGTAAAAATATTAAGGTATTATTTCAAACTTTTGACATTTCGATGAAATCTAACCATCCAAAATCTATACTCAATGCTGTGGATAAAGAAAGCCTGAATATTTGTTTCTAACAAGCCAACTATTATTGTTTTCTATTTTTCAGTTAGCTACTGGACTATGTAATCGTGAGGTATATTCATGTTATATTTTATGTTTTAGGTTATGTGCAACTTTTATTTGTGAAGATGTATTTTGTACCAAAGGCTCTTATACATAGATTAGCCCATTTACACGTAAATAAATGAAGTCTACACTGTGCCCAGATGAATAGTATTAAAGACAGACTTGCCTAAAAGAAATGTGCCTTGCTTGATTAAACATTCTTTTATTTTTAGTTCAAAATGATAGATTTTCCAGTTAGTCTTATAGTTAGGTTTTAGCTGAGCTTAACTTTATACAAATATATTAGTACTTAATATATGCTGTAAGTGGGCTCACTTAACTAAAATTTTAGCATTTAGTTTTATTTTTCAAGCTCATATTAGTCTATTTATTCAATTTAGTTCTTATGGATGGTTGGTGTGGTGAGACAAAGCACATTCTCAGAGATATATATTTCATCTAATGTTTATAACTTTTCCTTCAAAATGATATATGTAATAGGTCCCTAGCTCATTTTCTATTTTTATATTCTTTTAGAAATGGAACTTTTTTTCAATTAAAAAAAAGTTTTAGTTAAAAAAGAGATTTAGAAGGTTATGAAGACAGTTTCCCTTTGGGGGACATTTCACTTCTGTGTCATTATTAATGTATTTACTGTGACATTTCAGCAGAATGGTAGCTATTTGTACATTACTTCATAGGCCTTATGGAGAGTCAAACTGTGAACACTTAGTATATGGAAGACTTTATCATTTCCATATTTTATCTGCAAAATAAACCTGAACAAATGTATAAATAACCAATCTTCTGTTATTTAACTGCATAGCAATGCTAAGTTATAAATAAAAGTACTTGTAGAATTACAATTACTATAAAAATATTTTAGTAGCAAAGCCAAGATTATAAATTTTTTGATGCCCTGTGGAAGGAAATGAATTTCCTTGATGCTAAGTTTCATTGTCAGTATAGAAGAATCAGTAACTAAAACAATCTTATACCTACTAGCAGCAAAACAGATGGGGAGAACCAGGGAACTTTCTTTGAGGCAATATCTATAATGAGATTTTCACAATCTGCTGGTAATTTTTTTATGAGCAAAACTTTGAGACCAGGTCATTACAGGAAAAAGTAAAGTAAAGGAATGTCAGCTCTCTCATACTGAGCTGTTTGAAACTCCACTCTAAATGATCTGTGATTAAAGTGGAAATATTGCCACCACCTTGTTTTTATTTTGTGTTAGCCTATGTTGCAGAGACACTGTCCCAAAGAAGAGTCAGTCCCTTGCAGACAGCTTAGTCCTCGTAATTGATAGTTGCAACCTGGTCAGTCGTAGAGTAGTCCTCATCAGAAGTTGGACTAGTTGAAGCAAACTGATCAACTGTGCTGTAGGAAGTCTTATATGTCTAGATGTTTTTAGTAAGGATAGTAAGTATTATAAAAATAGACACAAAATCTACCTTTATGAAATACCAATGACATAACTTTAAGCATTATATTTAATATCATGTTTAATAGCTGCATTATTATTACAGTCTGCATTTCAAAGAAATAAGAAAACCTGGATTTTTGTACAGAATGGTATCAGATGTGTAAACTGCCATATAAAATATAGTTCAGAGAATGGGTAGGTAAAAGGAGACTAGAATTCTCACCTACTTCCTACCTGTGAAAGCATAGATGAAGTCAGTTACCATTGCTAGACTTCAGTTTCTTCCATTGCCAAATGGGTATGACAGGTTCAGTGATCTCTGGAGCCCTTTCCAAGCCCCCAAATCCTCTTTCTACATGTTCGAAAAAAAGCTTTGAGAAATATTTAAGATTTTCTTATACATTTCTGGAAGGAAAGTATAAATTGAAATAAGATTTCATAAATCTTAAAAGTGTCATAAATATGTCATCCTTCAAATTGATTGTGCAAAGAAGAAATAAGATTCTTTAAGAATTTTCACTGATCTATAAGGGGATTGTGAAGAAGAAAAATTACTCTGCAGAAGGGAAAATAGACTAAAGTGATAGCTATAAAGGAGTAGAACTTTTTTGTGAAATTTACTTAGATGTTAAGGTGATTTGGAAATTGTACACACAATGCTAAAATATACCAGAGCTTTATTGTACACTCAACATTGTAAGGGGAAGGTGAGAAAAGGCTAGTGCGATAGAAGTGTTTGCCTTACAGTCTCTGGATTTCCTTGTACACAAGCAGCAGTTTTGTGGAGCTGATGCAGGAGTCTGTGCTGTAGTGCTGGCTCTGCCAATAACTCCTGTGCCCTGGGAGGGTCCCTTTAACTTCTCAGAGCCTCAATTGCTGTATCTGTAAAGGGAAAGTTCTTTAAATTTAGTAATCTGTATGCTTTTTTTCATCTCCAAAAATTCTGTAACATTTTCACACTGTCACAATGTGTACATGTACATGTTGCTGAGATGCCACTTAGTCCTAATCAAGTTACTGAATAGATTGCAAATCCAAATCATATTTCGGACATTGCCGATTGACCTCAGCAAGACATAGAAAAGTTAAGCATTCCTTTTTATTTGACTATGGCTTCATTACTACAATTTATCATTTCATCTTTGAATGCTGAGAGTTACCTAAATACAATGTCTGTTCAAGTTTATCATCTCTTTACATTTTTGTAGTTAAATGAACACTTAGCAGATCAGAATTACATGTATCATGCTTACTAATGAACTGTAGCTGATTGTAAGGTACATATTTGTCACATTAAAAGGTTAATGGCCTTTTGGCAATGTCTATAATTTTAAATAATATTCATAAAATTTTGTAATTTTTTTTTGCATATAAAGGAGGCCTGATAGAGCCATATTGTAATTAATTTTGCTCAGGAGTGACAAACAAAATTCAGGGATAACCCCAAAACTTATGTTTGGTATTAGTGGACAGTTGGGAAAAGAAGGGTTATAGCTTTTGCACAACGTAGATAAGAGGTAATACACCCATTGAAAAATATGAACATATTCTGGTTGCCAATTTTATTGCAGAAAGAGATTAGGTTATAATGATGCTAAAAATGTGGGCACTAGAGAAATTGTTAAATGTTAGCAGTCCATCTGAATAATCCAGAAATATTTTGTCATACTAAGATTATTTGTTCAGAGGTTTAGTCTTATATCCCTTCCATTCAGAAAAGGGGGCAGTTTTTAAAGGCCTCTTATCATAATAGGAAATGTATATTTTGACTAGTGGAGCAATTAATTAAAACATTGAATCCAATAATTTTGGTTTGGTGAATTTGAATTTTAACTTTAGGTGTAATTGAGTCTGTTATGTATTAGTGTTAGTAATCTTTGTGAGAAGTGATTTCATCCATTTATTAAAAGTTGATGAAATTTGCTAAATGTTAATCTAGCATATTGTGTTAATACTATATCTTACAACAATTTGTGAAGCGATCATACTAAACAAACCATCGTAGTATCCTCCTGGTAAATTGTTCCTATGGTGTGATCTTTTAATGCTAGGTTTGGGGATGGGGAGGTTAAGTACCTAGTTTACTTAAAACTGTCAAAGTGTTTTTCTTAAATGCCATAAAATTGTATGACTATAAACCAAATAAGAATAGCCTCTTTTTATTTTAAAAACACTGTATAGACCATTTGAGAACTACCCCATAAAATGCTATAATTTATGTTAAAACACACCTGCAGATGTGTTATATATACACACACACACAAGGGAAAGCAAACAATGTATGTCACATTTCTAGGTTATATGCTAAATGTTTTAAAAATCCATTTTTGAAATCTTATACAGATAGTAATTATGTAGAGGTCAGAATAATGAATAGAACATCTCCATTTTTTCATAAGCGAGTCTAAAATTTATCTGTAACTTTTTTTAGTATCATACTTTGCAAAGATCATACATATATTTTATTTACTCCTTACAGTGTTCATCACATGAAGTGCTAATACCATCTGAAGTTTAGAGCTTAAGCATCCAAAGTTTAAGAATTTCAAATGACTTACCCAAGACACATGGCTTGAAAGCTCATATTCTTCATACTATTCACTCTGTCATGTTATTTTTATCTTATTCATTATCTTAAAACTTTGACTAAAATTTAATTTTAAAAGATACATTGAGAAATTTCAGATTTTAACAAAAAGGCATTGTTGCTATTACGGTTTGACCTTTTTATATACTTCTAAACTATGGTCCTTCCAGAGTGATATTCACATTTTTCATCTCAAACATTAAGTCCACATACCCTGACCACAGACTAAATTCATTTGATGTCACAATGCTAGACTGAAAAATGACCTTCTTCTCTGATATTTCTAATTTCCTTTTTTAAAAAACTATCATGATGACTGATTTCTGAACAGCTGAAAGAAGCAATAATCAACCCTAGAAACAGCATTCATTCTGATTCCGAGGAAAAAGTCCAGACTGCATTCATCATCAGAACCATTTTTCAGCTTATTGTTTTTCATCATACTTGTTCTGTGACTGGGGGAGTACAGGGAAGGAGGAATGGAGAGGAATGCTTTTTATTAAAAAAAAAAAACAAACGATTTCCTGTAACTATTTAAAATGAATTAGTTAACCAAGTATGAGATAACAGTACTGTTAACATTTAGCCATAGTTTGGGGGTCAGCAGATGGCATAGCAGTTACGTCGCTGGATTCCCACATAGCCGACTGCAGTTCGAGTCTTGGACTCGGTGTCTTGAACCTCACATCAGGCGCGTGTGTGTGCATGCCCAAGAAAGAGAATGGAGAAGGGATTGTGGTGTGGCCATTCCCCTTGGGGGCTGATTTCTCACTTTCCCTCCCTCTGTCTCTGTCTCTATCACTCTCTCCAAGGAGCGCATGTGCCCTAGGGCAAAAACCTTTAAAAAAAGAAAAACATTTAGTCATAGCTTAGCTATTTGGCAAAGTTCTTTCACATATTTAAAAATCTTTTGTGAAATTTACTTAGATGTTAAGGTGATTTGGAAATTGTACACACAATGCTAAAATATACCAGAGCTTTATTGTACACTCAACATTGTAAGGGGAAGGTGAGAAAAGGCTAGTGCGATAGAAGTGTTTGCCTTACAGTCTCTGGATTTCCTTGTACACAAGCAGCAGTTTTGTGGAGCTGATGCAGGAGTCTGTGCTGTAGTGCTGGCTCTGCCAATAACTCCTGTGCCCTGGGAGGGTCCCTTTAACTTCTCAGAGCCTCAATTGCTGTATCTGTAAAGGGAAAGTTCTTTAAATTTAGTAATCTGTATGCTTTTTTTCATCTCCAAAAATTCTGTAACATTTTCACACTGTCACAATGTGTACATGTACATGTTGCTGAGATGCCACTTAGTCCTAATCAAGTTACTGAATAGATTGCAAATCCAAATCATATTTCGGACATTGCCGATTGACCTCAGCAAGACATAGAAAAGTTAAGCATTCCTTTTTATTTGACTATGGCTTCATTACTACAATTTATCATTTCATCTTTGAATGCTGAGAGTTACCTAAATACAATGTCTGTTCAAGTTTATCATCTCTTTACATTTTTGTAGTTAAATGAACACTTAGCAGATCAGAATTACATGTATCATGCTTACTAATGAACTGTAGCTGATTGTAAGGTACATATTTGTCACATTAAAAGGTTAATGGCCTTTTGGCAATGTCTATAATTTTAAATAATATTCATAAAATTTTGTAATTTTTTTTTGCATATAAAGGAGGCCTGATAGAGCCATATTGTAATTAATTTTGCTCAGGAGTGACAAACAAAATTCAGGGATAACCCCAAAACTTATGTTTGGTATTAGTGGACAGTTGGGAAAAGAAGGGTTATAGCTTTTGCACAACGTAGATAAGAGGTAATACACCCATTGAAAAATATGAACATATTCTGGTTGCCAATTTTATTGCAGAAAGAGATTAGGTTATAATGATGCTAAAAATGTGGGCACTAGAGAAATTGTTAAATGTTAGCAGTCCATCTGAATAATCCAGAAATATTTTGTCATACTAAGATTATTTGTTCAGAGGTTTAGTCTTATATCCCTTCCATTCAGAAAAGGGGGCAGTTTTTAAAGGCCTCTTATCATAATAGGAAATGTATATTTTGACTAGTGGAGCAATTAATTAAAACATTGAATCCAATAATTTTGGTTTGGTGAATTTGAATTTTAACTTTAGGTGTAATTGAGTCTGTTATGTATTAGTGTTAGTAATCTTTGTGAGAAGTGATTTCATCCATTTATTAAAAGTTGATGAAATTTGCTAAATGTTAATCTAGCATATTGTGTTAATACTATATCTTACAACAATTTGTGAAGCGATCATACTAAACAAACCATCGTAGTATCCTCCTGGTAAATTGTTCCTATGGTGTGATCTTTTAATGCTAGGTTTGGGGATGGGGAGGTTAAGTACCTAGTTTACTTAAAACTGTCAAAGTGTTTTTCTTAAATGCCATAAAATTGTATGACTATAAACCAAATAAGAATAGCCTCTTTTTATTTTAAAAACACTGTATAGACCATTTGAGAACTACCCCATAAAATGCTATAATTTATGTTAAAACACACCTGCAGATGTGTTATATATACACACACACACAAGGGAAAGCAAACAATGTATGTCACATTTCTAGGTTATATGCTAAATGTTTTAAAAATCCATTTTTGAAATCTTATACAGATAGTAATTATGTAGAGGTCAGAATAATGAATAGAACATCTCCATTTTTTCATAAGCGAGTCTAAAATTTATCTGTAACTTTTTTTAGTATCATACTTTGCAAAGATCATACATATATTTTATTTACTCCTTACAGTGTTCATCACATGAAGTGCTAATACCATCTGAAGTTTAGAGCTTAAGCATCCAAAGTTTAAGAATTTCAAATGACTTACCCAAGACACATGGCTTGAAAGCTCATATTCTTCATACTATTCACTCTGTCATGTTATTTTTATCTTATTCATTATCTTAAAACTTTGACTAAAATTTAATTTTAAAAGATACATTGAGAAATTTCAGATTTTAACAAAAAGGCATTGTTGCTATTACGGTTTGACCTTTTTATATACTTCTAAACTATGGTCCTTCCAGAGTGATATTCACATTTTTCATCTCAAACATTAAGTCCACATACCCTGACCACAGACTAAATTCATTTGATGTCACAATGCTAGACTGAAAAATGACCTTCTTCTCTGATATTTCTAATTTCCTTTTTTAAAAAACTATCATGATGACTGATTTCTGAACAGCTGAAAGAAGCAATAATCAACCCTAGAAACAGCATTCATTCTGATTCCGAGGAAAAAGTCCAGACTGCATTCATCATCAGAACCATTTTTCAGCTTATTGTTTTTCATCATACTTGTTCTGTGACTGGGGGAGTACAGGGAAGGAGGAATGGAGAGGAATGCTTTTTATTAAAAAAAAAAAAACAAACGATTTCCTGTAACTATTTAAAATGAATTAGTTAACCAAGTATGAGATAACAGTACTGTTAACATTTAGCCATAGTTTGGGGGTCAGCAGATGGCATAGCAGTTACGTCGCTGGATTCCCACATAGCCGACTGCAGTTCGAGTCTTGGACTCGGTGTCTTGAACCTCACATCAGGCGCGTGTGTGTGCATGCCCAAGAAAGAGAATGGAGAAGGGATTGTGGTGTGGCCATTCCCCTTGGGGGCTGATTTCTCACTTTCCCTCCCTCTGTCTCTGTCTCTATCACTCTCTCCAAGGAGCGCATGTGCCCTAGGGCAAAAACCTTTAAAAAAAGAAAAACATTTAGTCATAGCTTAGCTATTTGGCAAAGTTCTTTCACATATTTAAAAATCCACTTAAGAGTTTTCTCAGATAAAACTAAAATCGGATAACTGCTCAGTTTGAACATGGAGAACATGCATTAATTCCTGACACAGTACTACATCTTTATTCTTTTTTCAGAAAACAGATAAACACTATTAAATTGCTTTCCCTTGTAAGTTGACAGTCTGACACATTCTGTACTTTTACTGATTCGCAATGCAGTGTTACTGTGACTATTTAAGTGGGCCATATGCTTATTATATTGGACTTTACATTTTTCTAACCTCAAACTTGGTTCTCATCATCAAACGGATACTATTATTTTGTATAGAATGATGTAATAATTATTCTAAGTAATGATAATAACAAATAAGATATGAAATCAAACATTTTGTATTTTTCTATACTCATCTTTTGACATTAAATTGTGTTGATTTATCATATATTAATGTAAAATTAAAATAAGCTCATTCCATGTTCGCTGATGTTCTTGTCATACTATTGGGCCTTCTGTTAAGTAAATATAAGTATATACCTGTGAATTTTGATTATGTGATGTTTTCATCTGATACATTTTTAAAATTTGTCATTGGATTCTAAGTGTTTCCATTGCAAATGTTATTATACAGAATTCAATAAAAGACCGAAAACAATCCTGTTACTCATATTAATAATTAGTTCTAAATAACTCCTTCCTGTCTGCCACCCTCCCCACTTCCTTTGCTTTTCTTGTTTTGTTTCTGTACAAGAGGAAACATTGAAAGCTTGACTGTTGTCAGTAGCTGAGCATCAGCTGCCTGGATGATGCGTCGGCTGTCTCCCACAGGACTGCGGCGAAGACTTCTCTGCTTTCCACGTAGCAATCCTTTTGAATGCCAACATTGCCTAGGTTTCTTCTCTCTCTCTCCCTATTTTGACACCTGAGTGAGCCCAGGAAAGCCTGAAGACAGCAAAGTTTATTTACAAAAAGTCTGCGCCTTTATACTTGATGCCTGTTACATAAAAGTATATTATGGTCCAGCAAATGTAAGTCGTTTCATTCAGAAATATGGATTGAGTACCCATTGTGTTCACTGCCTTCACAAAGCACTGTGAGGGGGTAAGAGGGTCAACAGATAGATGACCCTGTTCTCAGCATATAGTCTGTGTGTGTGTGTGTGTGTGTGTGTGTGTGTGTGTGTGTGTGTTTGTCTGTGTGTATCCCAAGTCTGGAAGTTAGAATTCTCACTATTTAGATCTGTAAGAGTCAAGTATTAAGAACATTTTGTTTTTAATGTGTATTTTCTACATACAATATTTTTTGCACTATAACAGAATAATTTCTAGTAATCAGTAGTATTTCTAGTAGATCTTATTTTGTGCTAGCAATGTTGATCCTAAATCTTCCTTATTCCTAACAACAGCTAGTTACTCAAATGTGTTTGTGCTTTAAGAATGTCAACAAATGCTGTATCACCAAAATAGAGGCCCTCTCTCTTATTTCCCATCTGGAAATTTACTTTGTCTTTTGAAAAAATGCAGATTTAGACTATCTTATACATGTGGCTTTCTGGTCATACAAAATTATGACTCTATGAGCCATAATTTCTTAAGTATTTCATTTTAAGGGGCCAAATCTTTAAGTCATTTGCAAACATTTAGAGAATAAATTAAGAGATAAGGGTGTTTCCAAGGGCTTGCAGCTCTCCCCTTTGAACCTGATGCCTCTAGTCGAAAGAATTCTCGGTTTTCTATGGGACTTCACCAGAAACAAATTCGTGTGTAATTATTGCTGCACCCCCTCCTCTAGGTTAGGGCCCACTCAATCTGGGGGTGTGCTTTTCTGTAGTTCCTTTTGTATCAAAACCTTTAGCAATCTTGTTTCTCTCCATTAGATCTAATGTTTATAAGTTTTCTTAATCACAGACAAAACAAGTTATTCTTTTTTAAATCCTTTTGTTCA